TCTACACAGAGACATCAACTTATTAGGTGAAAGAGAAAAGCAAATTAAAGATAAATCGTGATAATTGAGTGACTTAAATAAAAGTTGGAATGTCAAGTGTTTCCTACGTTATTTTGTGGTCAATAACATAAGGAGCATAATTATAAGAGAAAATAATGTATGGAAACACAACCTAAATTTTTTTATACTATCATTATATTATTTAAAATCATAATTAACTTTTAAACATAAATAATAATATAAATTATGAATAATATACTCAATATCTATATATTTTTATATCAACTATAAATAAATATTACGTTCTAATTGTAATAGTTTAAGAATGAATCAAAGATAATTTAAAAGTTTATTATACCAATTTATAAATGAACAAAAATATAAGTGGTAAGTGGTGTTACTAATTATTGGAATAATAAATATCTTACCTATTCATAATAAGTATCAACCTAACAAATTTCTACTCTTAAATAAGGAGGAAGGTGGTGGAGATTTTCGAACAAATGCTATAGTGGAAATAAAAGAAGAAACCTGGAAATTTGATTGCTGCACTCGGGGCCCAATGTTCGCAATCCTACCAAATACTAATTTGTCGTTTAAGATTTATGTTATTATAGAAAACCACTTCATGCCTACTCGTTCATAGGATATTATGTATTCAATTTTTATATATTTTATTTTGAAGAAGTAGAATGTAGGAATAAATCATAAATTTCTTCATAATATAATATATCATAAATCTATGGGGTGAATTATAAAAATTAAATGAGAGAAAACTTTCATAAATGCCTTCGATTATTACTATTTAAGTATATAAGTGGAATTAAGTTAAGTTATAGAAATTCAATTACACACATGTTCTTTACGAATATTTTACATTTATATAATAGTAAGGACAAAGTTGGAATATAAAAATTACGTTAGTTCAATTACTCTTAGGCATGCTTTGCCGTTATATAGTAACTAGTGTGTTAACAGATACTCTCGTGCATGTCAACCCGTTTTTTTATTATTTGTAATGTGTATTCTATCTGATATAAACGTTCATAACAATATTAATGTGAACCTGCTTTCAGCGAGTGTATAATTTTTAATATAATTAAAGATAAAAAATATTAAGTGCAAAATAGAGAAATGAAAATTAGTCAATGATAGTAGCTAAATCATGATTTGCCTTTATATATATATTAATAGATGTTCAATTTAAGGTGAGAGTGGTGATTAATATGTTGATGGTTACATATAATTATATGATTTTTTTTTGTAGAAATTAAAAACTGTCAGAGGCAAAACTAGAAATTGAAATTACACCATGGTGAAAGTTATATCATGTTTTACATTTATATATAGTATAGATATAGAAGTATATATATACATATAGATAATTAGGAGATTGATTCATAAATAAATTCAAAAGAGTATAATATCTATACATAGTCAGTGTAAAAATTTATACAGAGTTAGTTCATCATCAACCATTTATTTGTATTACTTATATTTAAAATTCAATAATGATAAATTGTAAAAAAAATCTCATACTAGCATGCATACATCCTTTTCTCTATTTCTATTAAAAAATGAATGGTAATTAAATATATATATATATATAATATATATATATATATATATATATATATTTAATTATAATATATTAACTATGCGTATATATATATATATATTTTGTGGACAATGCACTAACAACTTTATTATAGTAGATACAATTTTTTCCTCATAATAATTATAACTATAAATTTATTATAATATATTGTAATATTTATGCAATATCAGTTTTATACATAGTTAATATATTATATATTATTCATGTGTATTACTTATATTTAAAAATTAATGATTATCAACTATAAATTTTAGATAATATAGTGATAATGTATAAAACTCATGCATTTATGCATATATTTTTTATTATAATAATAATTATATCTATAAATTTATTATAATATATATAACTCAATACACATATAAATTAATTAGTAATAACTAGTGTACAATAATACTATGACTAATTTGATATCTAGTAATAGAAGAGAATAACATCTCCACTTGTCCTTTACAATAATTCCTTTCTACGATAAATCAATAACTGTATTATTGAAGGAAGATAAGATGCACCACCTTTCTAGGATATTGGGTTGTTGTGATACATGGAAAACATAATAATATATTCACCAATAAATTTAGTTTTTAAATCTTTATAGTAATCTATATTACTTAGAATTAAACATTACTAATTAAAGTATGGCTTTGAAATTCATATCATTTTTATGTGGTGTAATAATATTTATTAGATTAATATTTTAGAGTGATATAAATTATTGTAGAAGAGAAAAGATAAAGGAAGGTTGTTTCTATTTACTTTTCTTCTTGTTTTGAAATTCATGCTTTCTACAATTAGTTATACAAAAGATTCATCATTGAAGTCAAAGTCACTCTACATATGCACATATGGCTGAGAATATAATCTCATTTTGGATTCATTCTAAGAAACTTCTCTATGTGAGTGGGAAAGTTTGGAGATTAAGACAATTGGCACATAACTCATAAGATCATGAGTGCACAATTTTTGCTTTTAGGATAAGAACCTTTTTGAAGAAAAATATATAAGTACTTTGTATAAATGGCTCTTATAGTAAAAGGAAACTTGACCACATTGTGGTGCAGTCACTGTCTGTGACTAGAGCTTAGTGGCAACCATGACTATAAATGACACATTGATAGGGAAGAGGATCCTCTGTCCTTAAACTATATATATTTTTGTCCCACACCAATTAATGTTTGACAACAAATATTAAGTGGATACATAAGTAGATTTAATTTTATTTTACAAAAATAATAAATTAAATTCACATATCTATATATAAGTAGGCGGGATATAGTTGAAGACACAGAGTTGATACAGGTGATCTCTATCCCATTGATATGTTGTGAAACACGAGCAAAACACATGCATGGTGTAGGACAAGAATGACAAATTTTTGCACAAAGTGGTTGTAATTATTAATCCTAATATCTAATACTAATATATCAATAGTCATTAAACATTAGGGAAGAAGTATACATGGTTGCTTGTTACCAACAATGCTTAACGATTGCTTGTTACTAATACGCACTAAGTTAGAATTGCAAAACAACAATGCTTAAAATTGTCATTCAACAATGCTTTTGGATGTTGTCTGTGTGACCGCAATAGAATGTAGGGTTGGATTCAACAACACTTTTGAAGCACAGTAGAAAGTATACATTTAACAGTGCTCGCTTGAGTGAGCATTGTTGAATGCCCATTTTCTATAGCGCTCACTCAAGCAAATGCTATATAAAGTGGAAATTCAACATCACCCACTCAAGCGAGCACTATTAAATGTCTACTTTTTACATTGCCTCAAGCGAGTGTTGTTAAATAAGACAACATCTCTTTTAGGCATTCTACCAAACACATGACAAACATCTCAATTACACCATATTTACAAGATAGAAACATCATTATGAAAATCCAATTCATAAAGCATTGAATGAACTTGTCTCTCTTAGTTCAAATCCATTAACCTAAAAGATTATACACACTAATGAAAGAGACGAAGATGATGAGGACGTAAATGACTAATCATTGAATTTCCTGTCTCCCTTAACTTGAGAAATAAATGAATTTCTTATAAAAAAAAACGTAGTTCAGATTCTATATAATAGTAATCAAATCAAAATTTACAAAGATAATAAGGCTAAAAAAATTAATAACCAATTCCAAAAAATATATAGAGATTATAAGTTTGGTAAATTACCAATGCTTGGTGATATCTCTCCATCCAGATTCAATCTTAACATATTCCTATATTATAAAATAAACAATTAAGATAGATGAAAATACAAGTAGCGAATCAAAGAGAAATACATAAGAGTAAAATAAAACAACATTTCACTCTATGTTTGAAGAGAAACCAACAATTCACAACCTTTTAAAGCGTTTTAATAAAAGATGTGATTTATTATAATTTTTTGTATCAACATGTTCTAAAATGAGATTTAAATTATTTAACTTTTTTACTAAAAAGTTACTCTGACCAGCCTCTCACAACCCACTTTAGATGGGCTTGAGCAACAATTTAAAGGACATAAAATCTAATCGGAATTTTTAGTCTTACCCATTTTAGTCCGAATCAAAAGCGAGCTAGCCCAAACCCATTGGGATAACCCATTTTAATATGTCTACGTTGGGGGATTGAATTGACTATCATCTCTAAATTTAATACAAGTTTATATATTAATTACATTTCTTAATTTAGGTGTTATATGATCCCAAATAGTCTGTAATAAATTAAATGGTTGTTAGGCTAATGTCAACTTTGTTGAGTTTGGCTCCTCTCCATTACAGGAGAGGACAGTGCATGCTTAAGATTTTGACACATGGCAAAATCAAAACTTCAATGGTTTAGATTATTTACATTTTTTAAATTAAATTTTTTTAACAAAATTTCTCCCTCACAAGCCCAGTACTGGAGAGTCAGAATCCTATTCAACTTTGTTAGGCTAATGTCAACTTTTCTATTTTATACTAGTAGGGTACCCGTGCATTCGCACGGGTGATACCATATTTTGGATCAATATATTTAAGTAGCATAAAGTAATTTTTAGCTAAACATTTTTTGATGATTATATCATGGAAAATGATATTTATGTATTTGAATGACAAATTTAATTAGTAACTCATAAACTCCATTCATTGACAAATTATAATACTAACAAAAATATAGAATAAGATGCAAGGTAAGTTGTATAATAACTTCAAAGATCTGTTCTTTTCTATATATAAGTTAGGTATTCTATTCCATTCTATATATAATACTAACAAAAAATAGGACAATTTTGTTTCAACCTCATTTAGGTGAGGTTGTAAAAAATGACCTAATATACATCACACTTGTGATGCAACAAAAAATATTCAAAGGAAGTGTTTACATGCAACTTAAAACATTAATATCAAAACTTATTTAGTCTTCATATGCTTTGCAACATTGGAAGATGAAATTCCAGAGGAAGATTGTAGAGGGCTTTGAGCCAAATCCAAATCTAACTCACCCCACATTCTCTTGGAAGAAGTTATGACTTCAAGGTGGTCTGGATCATGTTCAGCAGTAAAAGACACAGCCTACGACAAAATTCAAAACATTTTTTATATGACTGAACATGTAGGAATTACATTTACATTGATAAATAAGTTAATAAAAGGTCTATGAACTCACAGTTTTTAATTGTTGGGAATCATTGGCATGCGACTTTCTTTTTTCCCACTTCGAAAGTGGAGGCTGTTGGACAATATCTCATTGAACGTTAATAACATAAATCTAAAAATAACAATGAACTACATTAGAATATGAAGTAATATAAGTTACTTGAGGTGATGGTAACTGGCGTTGTCCTTCACTGAATTGGTCAAACCATAGAGGCAAAGAAGAAAACCTACATACAACACAACAATAATAAAAAATAAATTCACACAATAAGTTTATATTCTAATTCACACAATGAATTCAGGCAAAGAAAAAACTGCATGTTGAATATTGGTTTCCATGCTATACCTTTGCTTATACTTTGCAATGTCATTTATTTCTTCCCCAATCAATAACTTTGATCCACACCATGAACTTGAAACTATTGTTGGACAGTCACCTATAATTCAATGAAATGGTATGGCAACTGAATAACTTTGATCCACAACATGAACTTGACACTATATATTTCATAAAGTTAAAAATTAAAACAATAGAACTACTACAACCTTTTGCTTTCTTGACTTTAGCATTTGTTAATAAAATGATCATTGGCTCACCATTTCGCCGTTTTTTGTAATAATTGATAAATTTCATCGCAAGTGAATGCCATAGATTACATGTAATGATATCACCGCTGAAGAAGACAATTATAAATCCAATATTTAAATATCAAAATACAATCAAATATAACGAAAAACGTAAATATAAAGACAATAAAAAATTTCAACATTAACATGAAACCACCTTACCAAAAATCTATCAGATCAAAGGTAACTTTCTTTAATTTTGTTTCTGTTTGGGAAAAAATGGACTTGTATTCAACTACACCGATAATTTCTACAATAGGCATAAGAAAATAAATTTCTTTTATCTATATATATAGGGAATTTGAGAAAACTAAATAAAAGTATTTGGGTACGAAAACATATAATAAATTTGATCTAACCTATTAACAAATAACTTGAAAACTGGCCAGCTACAATTTCAGCAAATTTTTTGAATTCGTATTCAAAAAGAGGAATAGCAGGACATATAAGTCGTTCAACTATTGTATTGGCATTGAACTCCATCCGATAAAGATGGTCGCAGGCTTTAAATTCACAGTCATTTAGCATCACATCAAAGTTTTGCATCATATAAGTATCATACTCCACTAAATAATTACGCCATCGAATAAAATCTTCCTTTACAACGGAGACTTGAATTTTGTGCCCCTAAATATCATAAAAATGAGTAATTTCTTAAACAGAAAAACATACCTTATAGTCAAAATATGACTTATTTTACCTTTGAATCCATCAAAACCATCTCTAAATGTCCAGATTTGGGTGGTTTTTGAACAAACCAAAGTTTTGTTATTCGAACAGCTATTTTCCAAAAATGTTTGGAATCATTCACACCAGTGATCATATCGAAGGGGTGTGAAAGAGACATTATACTATCATATAAAAAGATAGATGACATTGTTAGACAACAAAAATTCAAAATGATAACATCATGAAAATTTGTTACAATAAATACTAAAGCTTAAAGGACGTGTTTATTCCTTTAATGAAAGGAAAAGAATAAAAATTGAAACAAAAAGTAAAGCTTTGTGGTTTTCAAAACAACATGTTTTACTGATATTAATTTGGTAAACAACAACTTGTATAGGGGTAAATAAGAATGTTAAGGTCAAATTTCATATAGGATAGCTAATAATAAAACTACCCCATAATATGTAGACCTTCTTATTTTTGAAGATGTGACTCTCAATGTAAGTCTTAATTGGATACATGAAAATACAGTTAAAATAAAACGGGGAAAATAAAAAATGAAAACAAAAAGATTATAAAGCATAATAACAGATGAAGGAGATAAAGAGGACCTGTAAAGGTGACTTCATAACCCTATAATGATTATTCTGTAAAATATACCCATATTTGTCAAACAGTATAATAGAGATAGTGAATGAATCATTTTGTATAAGTAAGGAGCAGAAACATATGCACAGAAAAAAGGTGAGGATATCCATTGGGATGAATTTGATGTAACCATATTTGTCAAAATAGTTTGAATAAATAATATGAAAACAAACCTTCATAACATATGAAAGAGATAAAGAAGACCTGTAAATATGATTCCATACCCGTAAATGATTAATCTGTGAGAGTCATTTAGTGCACATACAGAACGTCAATTAACATTTAATTTAGGTATAGATAAAATGTATATACAGAAAGTCATTAACATATAATGCACATGCATATAGTCAACATATATACATGTAGTAAAGAACATACAATGGACATATAATGAACAACATATATACACGTAGTAAAACAACATATGGGTGAAACTGATTGTTATTTGTAAGCAGTGAATGAATGAAGTAGCAGAAAATGGACATACATGGAGTCAAAATAACATACAGTGAACATATAATGAACATACAATTAGTGAAATATGATATAAAACAAAATAGTATGGACATACAAAGAGTGAAATATAATATAATAGATATACATGTTGTTGGACAACATATGGGCATTTCTAGGTTATTTGTAAGCAGTGAATGAATGTTTATCACTGTCTTCATATTTCACTGATGTTATTTGTAAGCAGTGAATGAATGAGGTAGCATAAAATGGACATTTCTATGGTAAAACAGAGAGTGAAGTTCATAATATTTTTAAGCAACTAATGAATCAAATAAAATGTAATGGACATACTTGGAGTCAAAATAATAATCTACATATATGGAGTGAAATAACATACCATGGACATATTTGTAAGCATTGAATGAATTAGTTAAATAGTCAAATAACATGTAATATAAAGAGATTGATTGAATCATTTTGTATACAGAGAGTGAACTTCATAACATTTAGCATATAAAAAGATATGAACTACATGCATGTAATAATCTATACAGAGAGTGAACTTCATAACATTTTAAGTTGTAATGAGTAAAATAAAATGTAATAATCTACATACATGGAGTGAAATAACATACAATGGACATATTCGTAAGTAGTGAATGAATGAGGTAGCCTAAAATGGACATTTATACGGTAAAAACAGTATTATATATACAGAGAGTGAACTTCATAATATTTTTAAGCAGCTAAAGAATCAAATAAAATGTAATGGAGTTACTTGGAGTCAAAATAACATACACAGGACACATAGAGAGTCATATGTACATACGTATGGGGTAAAGTTCATATAAACCAAAATAGTATGGACATATAGAGAGTCATAACTATAATATTTTCTTCATAATATATGTTATGAACAAAATAGTATTTTCTTCATAACTATAATATTTTCTTCATAACTATAATATTTAGTATGACCAAAATAGTATTTTGAAATAAAAACTCAGAAATGTTCACTGTTCCGTCATTGTCGTCTTCGATGGAATACAAAGACGAAAAAATTGGTCAGTGATAAAGGATTAAAACAGATTCAATGAAAACTGAACACTGAAAGTGAAATATGAAAAAATCTGGTAAAAAATGAAAGTTATAAAAAGATAAAGCATTACAACAACTTCAATGTAAACTTTCCCATTCGATGTCATCTTCAACACATCACGGTGATAAACATTACGAAGACGAAAAACGGAGAAAGTGAAATATGAAAAACTATTGTAAAAAATGAAAGATATAAAAAGATAAAGCATTACAACAACTTCAATGTAAACTTTTCCATTCGGTGTCGTCTTCAACATATCACAGTGATAAACATTACGAAGACGAAAAACGGAGAAAGTGAAATATGAAAAACTATGGTAAAAAATGAAAGATATAAAAAGATAAAGCATTACAACAACTTCAATGTAAACTTTCCCATTCGATGTCGTCTTCAACATGCAAGAAGTCTGTGAACCAAATTTCACAGTGATAAATACTATGAAGACGATAAAACGGGGAAAGTAGCAAATGAAAACATGAAAACATAATGATTATAAAATTTCTTCACAGATGAAGGAGACAAAGAGGACCAGTAAAGGTGACTCCTTTAGAAAAAATGATTACTCTATGAAGTATAACATATTTGTGAAGAAAACTGTGTAAAGGTGAAACCTTTAAAAATAGTATCGCAAAGCAAATGGAAGAAACACAGTGGAAAAGAAGATCTACAATCGTCTGCACCTTCGACCACAATGAACCATACATTACCTTAACGAAGACTTGCTAAGAGAGTGTAAGAGTTAGGTTTCACTAAAATGCGATTATGAGAGTGAGAGTTTTTGAAAATGAAAACATGAAGAGTAATAGTTATTAAAAATAATGAGAAGAAATACAAATGTAGACATGCATGAGAAATGAAGCGGTTCATGTTAAATAATGAAATGAAGAGAAACAGAGAGACGAAAGAAAGGAAACGAAAAGTTAGGTTTTCTAACGAATAGAGGAGAGGAATGAAAGGAGAAGAAAGGAGGTGTTTCCGGAAGAAAGAGAAAGTGGGAAGGGTAAAATTACGTTGTTAACCCCTTCCCAACGTGTTGTGGTTTTCAAAACAAAGCCTGTTTTAGTAATTGTAATTTTGTCATCATTACTTTCAGAAAATTCAGAAAAAGTGTAATCATTGTTATGGCAAATGACCGAAATATCCCCAACATTCAAAATTAAATAGAAAGAAGCTTTAGGACATTATAGTAAAATAGAATTATTAATGTTTATTAATAAAATAATTATTGTTGACTTATTTGTTTATTTTTAATTAGTATGATAAGTGAAAAAATTATCAATCATTTCTTCATCCAAATTCACATTTTAATGAAGTTAGTCTACAGTGATTAGGAAAAGCAGATAATTATAGATTAGGAAAAGTAGTATTAGGAAAAGTAGTATTTCAATGATTGGAAGGAGGTCTTACAATGTTGTTTTTTTGTAAAAGTACAGTTTCAATGGTTGGATGGAGGTCTGACACAATGATGGATAATCTGCAACAAAATGATTCAAAAAAGTGAACTTATTTTTAGAATTGTGTCTATGAAAATCTAACAATTATATATGATTTGTTAGATGTTTAATGTGAGGAAAAACACATGTTAGACCTTGCAATGGGTGTGATTATTGTCTTCCTCTTTGACGATATATTTGGGTGTGGTGCTTCATTAACATTTAATAAGTTAA